GATTGGTGTCTACGTTGGTGTCACCACAGTAGACTTCACAGACATTGTCATCAAGGAAGCTGGGCCGCCATCTGCATACACCGGGCCTGCACTAACCACGGCCATTTGCTCCAATCGCGCCCCTGGGACTGCATAGCTCAGGGCTGAACTTTGTTCCGCTCCAACATTGTGTTGTTTGAGGATTCAGGTGGACGGGTTGCATCAACCATGAATGTAGATTGCAGGCTTTCCTTTCCGACAAGTGCCTAGGTATCCTACGTTTTCGACCTGCAGGGGCCGTCCGCATCTGTGGCCGCTTGCTTGCAAGCTGAGAAGGTGCCTCCCCTTCAGAACTTCAAGTTCGCCCATCAAATTATGTAAATCCGATCTCGTGCCAGGCCCCGCCTGTGAGTTTTGCGATATCCGTGCGCGAAGGCACCCAGGTTCATGCCGTGCGACTGAAAGCCCAGCCTGAAGGCGAAAACGCGCCCAGAGGCTACAAGTGGGTTCTTTTTGTCTCCCAAGGACACGGCCTGTTCCTCCTCGCTGGTTTGCTGCAACATGGCCATGGCAGCCCTGCGGGGCAGCGTTTGCACGGGTGCACTGGTCATGGGAGTCAATGTCCAAGTGAACCCATATTGGACGGAGGCCGGCTTTTGGGAGTTCAGGATACGGCTGCCGGAACCCTTGCGCATGTTTGGAAAGGAGCTTTGAAACACAAAATCTGGGAGGGGGGCAAGCAAGGCAGACTCGCAGTTGTTCGCCGTAGGCCTTCGCCGAAGCTGGCATGCTTTCACCTACTGGGCGCTGCCGCTTCGGAGATGACCGTGCAGATGGCTACGTGAGAGGACAGGTTGCCTTGGCGCGGCCCATGCACTGTTCATTCAGGGATCCTCAAAGGGAATTTTGAATATCAAGTTATTCAGGTAAGTTAGGCAAATAGAGGATCCATTGCGACACGGTGTGACCTTGAGATGCGTCTTCCAAGGCCCTGCCCGTACTTCAGAGATCGCGATGATAGGCACAAGAACACTTGAAGAAGAAGAAGAAGAAGAAGAAGAAGAAGAAGAAGAAGAAGAAGAAGAAGAAGAGAGAGCTAACAAACACCAGCATGATCAAAGCAATGAGTACTGGCGCTGCCACCTGCCTTCTGGCACGTGCGAGGAGAGGGCAGCAGCTGCCTGATGCTGTCCGAGGAGAGTGCTTACAGCCGAGGCTTGCAGAAGGCGGCGCCCTATGCTGCACTGAAAGGTGGGCTGAGGGTGGGCCCTGGCGTCGGGAGGCGAGTTGCAGGCGGAGTTTTGTAGTTTGCGGCGCTGACATGGTATGAAGTTGTTGTTGGAAGCTGTTGTTGGGTTCGTTGCTACATTGTTACACTCCTTCATGAGCCCGGTTGGATTTTGCTGCCAGGCACCTATTCGAACCAGGACGGCCGGTCCAATGGCCTCACGGCGCCAAATCCGATGTCCCAAGCATCCTTGCTGACTGCTGCTTGGATGGACGCAGGCAGGTGTCGGTGCGGTGGGGAGGGTCTCCAAAGCCAACTCTGCACCAAGCAGCTGAGCTACTGCCCACCCAAAGAAGTTGGAATCAACACAGCCACCAAGGTCTCCCTACAAGAAGCAGTTTGGCCTGTCATTTGCCCACGCCAGGCCTGGATGTGGCCCAGGCCTCCTACGCGGAAGCCCACGGGACCGGCACGTCGCTGGGGGATCCCATCGAGATCGTGGCCCTGGGCCGGGCCCTTCGGGGCAGGCAGCAGGGCCAGGCGGACCCCAACCTGGCCCACCTGCGCCGCGGCTCTTTTGGGGGAGGGTGTGCGAGCATGCATTTGCGTAGGGCCCGTGTGGGGGGGGACTGTGGCCAACTTTCCCTCGCTCATCAACATTGGTTGGGAAATGTTCGCAACGCCAGGGATGCAGCACTCACATAAAGCAAAACCTTCACTGAATTCCCAAACAACCCCTCTCAACGGGACCCACTGGGCACTTAGCACTGGGCAACATTGCAGGCGTACGCGGCGTGTTTGGGGGTTGGTCAATTCGGGAAGCCCTGTGCCAGCGGCCAGGCCAGCGCTCCGGACCACCAGCTTCAAGTCCAACATCGGGCACCTGGAGTGCGGCGCGGGCAGCGCGTCCATGGCCAAGCTGGTGCTGGTGCTGCGCAAGGCCTTCATCCCCCCTTCCCTGCACCTCAAGGTGTGCCCTGGCATGCCCTGGCCCAGGCTGAGATCGCTCTGCAATAGACTAATAGAATGAATGGTTTGGGGTGTGTGACATGTCTCCCTGGATAGAACGCTGCAGGCTGACGGCCGTGTGTCAATCATGGGCGAGACCGAACTCAATGCTTCCAACCCGGCGGAGATACAGTCTAGCTTCGGCCAGTTGTTTCCTTCCCAGTAACGCCAGTTGTTTGGCCGTCCCCTTTGAATTTATGCCCAGAGCGTTTGGCGCTCTTGGCGCAGCCGACTAGCATCAGCAGCAGAGGGCCCCGTGGGCGTGCTTTTGGAACACCGTGCCACTGGCTCATGGCTGGCCTGTTTCATGATGTTTTCTTTCCCCAAGAAGGCTTTGCAACCCTGCGGCGTTGATTTCATCATTCAGCCCAAAAGTCTGCAAAGGCAATGCGAAGGTTTCTGTCCGACCTTGCGCAGGGAAGACTGTGGAAGCCTTTGTGCGCTTGAAGCCGCAAATGCTCTCTCGCCCAGGCTCAATCGCCACATCCTTTGGGAGGATGTGGGTGTCCGGGTGGTGACCGAGTGTGAGTCCTTGCGCGAAGGAAGCAGCATCTCTTCGGAGCCAGTGTCTGGCTGCGCGCCTTGGATGTAGAAGGCCTCGTTGCAACACAACCCGACCCAGCAGTGGCGGGCAGTTCCTCCCAGCCCAGGTGAGTGGCTTCGGCTTCGGAGGCTCCAACGCGAATGCGGTCATGAGTGCCTTGCCGGACCGCTGGGATCCGCTGGGGGGAGTGATTTGGGGGGGGGGGTTTAAGAAAGGAGAGGAAGTGGGCAGCTTGAGGCCTTGGATCGCCTGGCGCCCCATTCCACCCCCCTTCCGCCAGAGCCGTGTTTTCGTTTGCTGCAGTTGTCTCTGGTTGGGCCGGGTGTCGTGATTTCTCATATCAAATCCATTCCCATACCTCTTGTGGGCAAGTCCGATGAGTGGTGGGTTGGACCGGGGGGCTGGTGCCGCCAGCGAAGCCATCGCGCAGGAGGGGGAGCCGCGCTCCTCCCGCCGCACAGTGGTGGTCCCCATCACCTCGAGCAGCAAGTCGATTTCGGCCACAGCCGACCGCTTGCAGGCAGGGTAGCCTGTTTGGGATTGGTGTGAGCGGCGTGTGTAGATGCCCGTGTTGACAAATGTTTGCATCATATGCCGGCTATATTCTTGTTTGTGAGCAATAGGCCAGTCAATGGAAACAGTGTGAAGAAGGGCGAGTGTGCAATGCTTTTCCATGTCAGTACAGGCCCCATCTCCGCTGAATTTTGCACGCAGGCCTGGGTTGAGACACAGATGGCCGCGGATGGCAAGAGGACACCCCTGTCGCTTGGCCAAGCATTGGGACATGCGCACGCGCATGAGGGATTCAGTCGTGCGCCCCTTAGTTGATAATAGTGGAGAGCGGGCAAGTAAAGCATTTTATTTTTGAGAAGAGACAACCATCCTCAAACTTGTCGTTTTTTGAAAGTTACCCCAAAGATTCGTTTGCCTGTGGAACCCTAAACCCGTCATGTGAGGTGCGTGCACGTTTCGTTCCAAAGCGGGTAGATCAAACCGCCCTGGCAGGGGCCCTTGCAGGCCTGGTTGTTGGTTGGTTGGTTGGTTGGTTGGTTGGTTGGTTGGTTGGTTGGTTGGTTGGGTTGGCTGGCTGGCTGGCTGGCTGGCTGGCTGGTTGGTTTGTTGGTTGGTTGGTTCGTTGGTTGGTTGGTTGGTTGGTTGCGTCGCAGTTACTCGAGGTTGGGCTTGGCAGGGTTCTCGTAGGTGTGGGAAGGAACACAACGATGCAACACAACCACCTAATTACGTCCCGCACCGGCGTTTTATTCTTAACCCTCAGCCAGGCGGGTAGAAGGGTTCTTGCGGAGTCCAAGACTTTAACAATCTTGCGACTAGCAAGTTGAAGGTCAAGTTAGTGCAGCGTTGGTACTAAAGCTGTATTCATGATACCGCAGGGTGCGAGGGTTTGCGCTCTTGCCAAGGCTTGGGAGCTTGGAGGCGCTGTCCCGCTCCGCCGGCCTCCGGGCCACCCGGCCCGCACAGGGCGGGGGAGGCGGCGCGGCCAAGGCCAGGTGCCGATCTAGCCGAAGGACTTTGGTCTTGGGAGCCTCCAAATACGCAATGTTTGAAATTCACAAAAATCCCGGGCAGGAACGTTCAGAGGTGTAGATTTGAGTGATTGCGAGATTCAATGTGACCTGCCGGCGGGTTTGGGAGTGATTCAGATGTAGTTTTGTCCCTGAATGCGGATGCCCCAGCAAAAATGTGTTTATATTTTACCCTTTGTTGTGTTGAAGCACCAAAGAAGCAGTTCCTCAACAAGCAACAGCTACACTCATGCATATCTCTGCCCACAGGTGGCGCTGGTGGCCGGCAGCTGGGCGGAGCTGCGGGCGAAGCTGCAGAAGCTGAGGCCGGGAAAAAGCGCAAAGCGTTGGTTGGCTGGCTCGCTCGCTGTTTGGTTGTGCGCGGCTCTAAGATGGACTCCCGGAAGTGTAGCCCCCTGTTGGTCAACAAGCCCCGCGCACTCGGCCTGGTCCAAGAACCCCCCTGGAAGCGAACGAACCACGCCCCGTCCGAGGCCGCGGGAGGTGGCCTCCGCGCGCCCGAGGCTGGCGCTGGTGCTGTCCAGCGCGGAGTGCGGCAGCGCCTTCGCAGCACTTCGGCTGCTTCAGGCAGGGGGGTTGGGGTGTTGGGGGGTTGGGGTGAAGGGCGCAGGGGACCTTGTTTGCGAGACTAAGCTCTACAAAACCAACGCCCTGAAGAGGGTGGTCGCCAAATAGCCCGCAAGTGTCGACCATATGGGCCATAGTCACCCTGGGGAGTGGGGGTTGGCGAGGTGCATGCATGCGTGCATGCAAAGTTTGTCCTGTGTTCAGTTGCCATGGTTTAGAGATTGGCAGCCCTTGATTTTAGTGGCTGCCCGTGAAGGGAGCCAATTGTATAGCGAGGGGCCGGCAGCTCAGCCACTGCAATTGTGGCAAATACCAAAGACACCAAAATGAAGACTGCCTTCAAAGGAGGCCGCACAGGCGTTCGACGGGTTTCGTCCATTAGCTGTTTTTGCAGGCCATGGCGCGGCCAGATGCCTGGTGCAGCTTCCAAGGGAAACTGGCTGAGCTGAGAGGTGCAAGGGAGATAGATCGGGAGATGCAGCTGCGCAATGCTTTTCAATCTGTGAGTTAGAGCCTGCCCTTCCTTGAATTTTGAGATTCTCCTGTAAAGTTCGTCAATAATTTGGTTACTTGTTTTTGGTAAAGATCATGGCAACATATTTTATAAACAGGTGATTCTCAGCATGTTCGTGCCACCCCACATGGCCGAATGGCCGGGCCGAGCACCTTGCAGGGCGGGGGTGTAACTTTTCGGCTGTAGGAGCCAATGCCACTTCAAATGCATTTTTCCTTAGACAATTTTTGTGGGTGCCCTTTCAAACGATGAAGTCGTCTGGACGACGTCCCACCATGTTCCACACCACCTTTTGTTCAGAGGAATTCAACTACCCAGTGTGGGTTTTGAGCCAGCTGAGGATTCCCACATCCCTGGCCCACCCAGTTGCCCACTCGCCCGCCACACGTCCGCCCCTGGATGGAGGCGAGCTCCAGAGCACGGAGGGCGCTGCCCTGGCAGCGCTGGTGGGCGCGGGGGCAGCGCTGGTGGAGGACCTCGGCGTCCAGGCGGGGGTGATTCAACTGCCAAGGATCCCTCGTCACACGAGTGTTTAGACCAGGCCTGGGCTTTAACCCTCCTGCATGTTTAAACGCCGAAGCTGTTGTTCAAGCTTCCTCATTTCGTCTCCCCCTTCGATTTGGGCTGACTTCTGCCAGCCAATCTTGATCGATTGAGCATCCCTATTGTTTTTTTCCCCCTTGAAGGGCACCAGGCTCCTCGGATTGTTTTGGCATGCCCAGGCCACGGTGGTTTGCGGCCACGGGCGCGCCGGGGAGGCGGCGGCACTGGCTGTGGCCGGGGCGCTGCAGCCCCGCGAGGCAGGGTGAGGGGGGTGGGTGGGTGGAGGTCGGTGGCTGTGTCTTGGGGTGGGCGTGTATATATATATATAGACATGTATATATGTATAGATGTTCTACGTATGTGTGAGCGGGTCCTACTTAGTTCCGGTGTCTTCTGAAGTTTGGGCATGTGCCGATCAAAAGCCGGTCCCGGGTTGTCAAGCATGGAGCAGGCAAGTCTCGACTGCATATGCGCCACCGCGTCAGCTTTTTGGCGTGCAAGGGATTCAGCAGTGGTTTGAAAGATGATGCCCCCTGGGAGGCCCTCCAGGTGGCTTTGGGAGGCGCAAGCGCTTGCGGCAGCTGCTATTGGCCGCCCGCTTCACCAGTGGCCTTCTCCAGGCTGGGGCTGTTGTCGCAGAAGCCCAGCGAGAAGGACAGGTTGGGAAACACAACGTTCAAGACGACAAGTTTCCATTTCGAGCGCGTTCATCTGAAGCCTTGAAGGACCTCTCCGGTGCCACATGTGGAGGCTTCCAAGGGTTGGCATCCGCAGTGCAGATGCTTCAGTGCGACCTGGTGCTCGAGCTGTGCATCGGCGCCCCAGTGGTTGCAGGCTCGAAGGTCTCCGTGCCAACGGTGGCTGCCAGCATCGGGCCCCCGCTGGACGGCCGCATCGTCTCCAGCGACGTCGCGGAGCGCAGCATCCTCGAGGCCGCCGCGGAGCTCTTTGCGCGGGGGGTGCCCGTGAACTTTGCGGGTCCCATGGGCACAGGCCCTGTCAGCCGACTCCCTCCGCCAGGCTTGGCACCCAAGGTGTGCTGGCCTTGTGACCCAGCGATCGGCCAATGGAGTCGGAAGGACATCTTCACCGATGCGTATCATGCCCAGTGGGTGCCTGCAAACTCCTCACCTGGCGAAGGGCGGAGCTTTCTCATTTCTGGAGGCGCTGCGGCAGCGCGGCTGGCTGCAGCGCTGTCAGAGCGCGGCTGCGTTGCAGCGGTGGGCAGCCCCTCCTCCGCCACATCTGGGGTCGAGTTCGTTTTCGTATATGACCAGGCAGGTGGAAGGCCTTTGCAGCCAACTCTTGCGGCGGCACGCGCGGCGCCTCACAGCATGTTGCAGTGGCTCCGCAGCCTGCCAAAGAGTGCCAACAAGGCGGCTGTACTTACGGTCGGTGCGCACTCTGCAGAGCAAGACCTGCGTGCTGTGCCTGCTGCCGCGATTTGGGGAGCTGCCCGGTCAGCAAGGCAGGAGCTGAGCGACTGCAGGCTGCGATGCATTGATTTGGAGCCATCTACTGCTGATCCCTATGCTTGCTTTGCCGACGAGCTCACCCATGAGGAAGCCAGAGACGTTTTGCTTGAAGGATCCCAGCGCCGCGTTCGAGTGCTGCAGAGTTTGCAGCTGCCCTTGTTGCATACACCGGCCCAGCGCTTCTCGCCCGCTTTCGGAGTTACTGGGGGCACAGGAGCTTTGGGGCTCATCCTGTCAGAGTGGCTTGCCGGCCAAGGCACCAAGGCTTTGGTCTTGGCTTCTCGCAGCGGCAAGATTCCGGATGAAAACAAGAGCCTGTGGGAGAATCTGTGCAAGTTGCAGGTCTCGGTGGAGCTGTGCCAATGCGACGTGAGCTCCGACCCCTCGGCCTTCATTCAGCTCCTGAAGTCTGCTGGCTCCCCCTTCGGCTTGGCGCATCTGGCAGGGGTTCTGCATGATGGCATGTTCCAGCGCCAGGATTTGGACGTTTTGGACCGCACCATGCGGCCCAAGGTGGATGGCGCCGCGCAGCTGGTCGAAGCCTTGCGCGCCCTTGGCGGCGCGCCCCTGGAGTTTCTGTGGCTCTTCTCCTCAGTGACGAGCTGCATGGGCACCTTGGGCCAGAGCGCCTACGGCGCCGCCAACTCGGCGCTGGACGCCATGGGCGTGGCCTGGCACCAGGGCCACGTGCTGGGGCCCTCTGCGGGCACCACGCGGGTGCTGCAGTGGGGGCCTTGGGCGGACTTTGGTATGGCCGCCGGCCTGCCGGAGGGGAGCACCTCTATCTACAGGCCCTGGCACGGGCACCAGGCCATGCTGGCCCTGGAGGCAACGCTGACAGCCCGGACGCCGGTGGCATGCCTTGCGCGCTTTGACTGGCAGCAGGTGATGCAAGATTTCGCGCACAGCTCCTACTACAAGGGCTTTTTGCAGGAGTTCACGCAGGAAAGCACAAACCAAAGGAGTGTCACCCCCCTGGCCCCGGTAAGTGGTGCAAACGTGAAGAATACCATTGTGCACACCCTGCAGCGCTTTTTGCCGAATGGGACAGAGGGCCTTTCAGATGATGCGGAGTTTGACGAGCTGGGACTTGATTCGCTGTCTGGTGTGGAGGCATCGCGGGCATTGGCAGCCGCGCTTGGCCCTTTGGGCATCACAGGAATCAAGCCGACCTTCCTATTCGAAGCGAACTGCTTGAATAGCGTGATTGCAAAGTTGCCAGCTCCAAAAGCAGTGTCGCAGCAAAGTGCAATGCAATCTGGTTCAGATGCACTGGCCAAGCACGCATCCCCGGCTGAGGTGAAAAAGACAGTGATTGAAACACTGAGCCGCTACCTCCCAAATGGGACAGAGGGCCTTTCAGATGATGCGGAGTTTGACGAGCTGGGACTGGATTCGCTGTCTGGTGTGGAGGCATCGCGGGCATTGGCAGCCGCGCTTGGCCCTTTGGGCATCACAGGAATCAAGCCGACCTTCCTATTCGAAGCCAATTGCTTGAATAGCGTGATTACAAAGTTGCCAGCTCCAAAAGCAGTGTCGCAGCAAAGTGCAATGCAATCTGGTTCAGATGCACTGGCCAAGCAAGCATCCCCGGATGAGGTGAAAAAGACAGTGATTGAAACACTGAGCCGCTACCTCCCAAATGGGGCGGAGGGCCTTTCAGATAATGCGGAGTTTGACGAGCTGGGACTGGATTCGCTGTCTGGTGTGGAGGCATCGCGGGCATTGGCAGCCGCGCTTGGCCCTCTGGGCATCACAGGAATCAAGCCGACCTTCCTGTTTGAAGCAAGCTGTGTGAGATCAGTCTTTACCAAGAGCCTTGGACGAATTGGCCTTCGCATGCTTGCCGTGATGGATCTCGGATCGCCTTGGGGCCGACTGCTTGTGACAAGGGTTAGCATGCTTGTGTGCCACCTTTTGTTAGCCTTTGCTTTTAAAAAGGCAACAGATTCAGTGATTTTGCTTGTTGCTTGTTGTCGCTTGGCTTGGCCCAGGGTACCCTGGTTGCCCTCAGCCAAATGATTTTGAACATCACTTTGCGGGACATCTTGAAATAAACCATTACAAATGCGCGCTTGGTGTGTGGCGGGTGCAATTTGGAGGGGGAGATGCAGGGACCGCCAGCCCTGTTTGGGCCCGGGCAATCTGATTCGATGCACCGAGGGCGATGGAGTCCATGTCGGTGGTGAAGACCTTCACGGAGAAGATGCCGCAGACGCAGATGGGCAACCAGCTGGCACTCCAGGCCACTTAGGAAAAACGGACAGCATGTGGGCATGTGTCGAAATAGGATTTGGTTCTTCCTTTTGGTTTCCGTTTAAACCAAGCCCAAACGTCCCAGCAAGAAGCGTTCTTGCCTGAAGGTTAGGCGAAGGGAAGGATATTTGTTGCAAGCACGCAGCAAGTCCGAGTCTGATCCGTATGTCAAAACGCAGGGCCTTTGTTGCGACGCGGGGTTTAGCCAGGTGGACTTCCACTCGGTGGGCGAGGTGTCCGGGTCTACGCGGATGCTGATGGCCGCGGTTGCGACTTCCTTGGCGTGGTTCCTGAACCTTGATTTTGCAGATTTTTTTTTTGCAGGTCGCCTTTTTGTTTGGCCATGGGCTAGCGGCTAGCGACTTTTTCATCCCGTGATTTCTCTTGCGAAAAGGTTTCCCCCCCCCCCCGCCCCCCCCCCCATCCCCCACCCGGGCCGTTTGCAGGTTCCTGCGGCTGCTGGGGTGGCTGCCCTTCCTGGGGTTGCTGCTGGGGCTGATGAGGCCGCAGGAGATGGTGAGCGGGCTGGACACCGCCTTGCTCTTCTACATGCGCCTTGAATGGGGGAAACTGAAAGCAAGAGGAAGCCACCTGTCTTTTTTCTCTCACCTACCTGGAGAATGATGTTTTTCCCACTCTTCTAAAAAAGTGCCGGCCGCATGCTGTCAGATCTCCGGGCCGCATGATCGCCAGTGTACGCATTTACTTGCCTTCCAATATGTGCCTTCATTTGTCTCCCAGTGCTGCCGGATCGCCGCATGCTCGCCAGTGTGCGCATGTACTTGTCTCCCAGTGTGCGCCTTCATTTGTCTCTTAGTGCTGCAGCTGCAGCATGTCTCCCAGTACGTGCCTTCATTTGTCTCCCAGTGCTGCCAGATCGCTGGGCCGCGTGCTTGCCAGTGCGCGAATGTACTTGCCCCCCGTCTCCCAGCATGTGCCGTCATTTGTCTCCCAGGTGCTGAGTTGTTCAAGTGTGCATCGTTGGCGCATAGGTGTGCCCGCTGTCGGTGCACAAGAATGTCCGTCGTCGGCGCACAGCTGTGTTCACTGTAGAGAGTGCCTTGCTGGCGCATCATCGTACCCAGTGTCGGCGTGCAAGCGTGTTCACTGTCGGCGCATAAGAGTGTTTACCGTTGGCGCATCGTTGTAGCCAGTGTCGGCGCACATAAGTTTTCAACCTCCGTCGACATGAATTTAGAGAATGGGGGGGGGGGGGGGGTTGAGCCCATTTTGCAGATTGTGAGTAAGAGGAAACGGGTCTGGTCAGGAAGGGTCCTAGGTTGCCCCCTCAATTCCTAAAGATAGAAGCTTCTCAGTCTGGATTGGTTGACCACATCTTCTAAAATAGACCGAGTTGGAAGACCCCATTTTCTAAAAGAGCAGCTATTTGGCTGCCAGCTGGATGAAGAAGAAGCCAGAGAGAAACGCCTTTTTGTCGCGCATTAAGACAAAAGCGCCAAGTACAGAACTACACAGATTCTTTGCTGTTTGAGTGGCCAGGCCACTACAGTCCATCCAGTCTTTGTCTTGCCATCTCAGAAAAATCTTGAGCCGAAACACGGAACCCCACCAATAGCAAACATTGCCGAACAGAAAACAATCCTGCTGCTTGCTTTGCCACAGCTACCGAATTAGAGATGGACGTCCCCTTTTCTTTCACGAGGCTGCCGTTTTCGTTTTTTCATGGTGAGGTTGGCCCCCCCCATTTTCCAAATTGAGCATGTTGAATGAAAATGGGGTCGGCCCGTTTTCTATTGAAAAATGGGGTTGGACCCCCCATTTTGTGCAGAAACTGGGGTCCAACCCCACACCCCAGCACCAAACCCCGAAAGTTTTCATTGTTGGCGCACAAGCGCGTTCGGTTCCATTGTTTTCGCATAAGCGTGCCCGCCGTCGGAGCGCAAGAGGGACCCTGTTGACGCACAAACGTGTCCACCGTAGGCGCGCTAGAGTGTTCCTCGTTGGTGCACAAGCATTGTCGCCGTCGGCGTACAACAGTGTTCCTCGTTGACGCAAAAGCGTGCCGACCATCGGACCGCAAGAACGTTCCTCGCACAAGAGTGTTCCTCGTTGGCGCATAAGCGTGTTCACCATCGACGCAAAAAATGTGTTCACTGTTGGCGCATAAGCGCGTCAGCTGTCGTTGCACAAAGGTCTCCGTTGCCGGCGCATAAGCATGCGCACCGTCGGCGCACAAAAGTGTTCGTTGTTGGCGCACAGTGTGTTCCCTTTCAGTGGCAGGAGGGTTCCTTGCCGGCGCGTACGCGTGACCACCGTGTTCGCACAAGAGAGTTGATCTTAATGCGCTGGAAGGCCACCAAGGAGGTTAAGAAAGTCTAAGTTCTCGCCTTGGACCACAGGCTCTTCATCCTGGCCACGGTCATGCAGTTCTACCTGGCGCTGCTGACTCTTTGGGTGGCCAAGAACCTGTTTCTGGGAAGGGTGAAGGCCAGGGCGAATGCTCAAGACTTGGCGCATATGGAAATTACACTGCACGTCACACCCCCCTTTCGCAATGTCTCCGCCACAGAGGCTATGATTGCCAGTTTGTTGAGCTTGCTTGACCCGGTTTGTGTGCCTGCGGAGGCGGCAGCGAATGTCGGTCTGCCCTGTATATTTCGCGGGGTGCGTGGCGCTTGCAGGAGGGCCTCTGGCCTACGTGGGGCTGGAAGATGGCCTGCCTGAAGGGCATCCGAAGCTACGAGGAGAGCGTCTTCCAATCTTTGTTTGTGAGGTGCTTCGAGCGCACCGAGATTCCGAACATCATTTGGCGCCTGCTGGGCACACAGGCGGGAGTGGGATGGCAGGGTCAGGAGGGTGTGGTTTCGCCCACGGCTGGGCATTTCCAGGTGGGCCGGGGCGCCTATATCTCACAATCGGATGACCCGCCCTTGATGGCCTGGGACATGATGAGCATCGGGGAGAATGCCATCCTTGATGGGACCAATGTCTTGGACGCCAGCCGCACCTTCCACATGAACCAGCGCTTGTCCATTGGAAACGATGCAGCGGCCCGGCTGAAGGACGGTTCGGAGAGCCCCTCGAGGCTCTGCTTCGGACGGGCTTCTCCGTGTTCGGTCCACGTGGGCACAATGACACACTTTGCTTTGAATGGCCCGTGGCCCACCCCCACCATCAAATTCACCATGATTCACACCGTGCTGCCGCAGCAGGTTATTTGCGCCAATGCCATCATCAAGGGCGGCGCCACCGTGGGTGACGGCGCGGTGGTGTTGCCGAACACGACCCTTGCAGGCGCGCCAGAGGGAGTTGTGTTTGTGTCATATGTGACCGCAATCCTTTTTTTTTTTTGCGTCGATGGTATGAGCGTTGACGCCTGCTAATTGTGGCTGGCCTCGGCATTCCTTAGTTCTGAATTGCCTTTGGGAACGAAGATGGACCAATTGGTCGACGGAGCTCCTCAAATCGTTGGTTTGCTTCGGATGGAGGACTTCTTGGGGTCTCCGTGCCTTCAGTTTTGGTGCCCCAGCTGTCAGGCGCCCTGGGCTCGCGGGAGGTCTATGACGGCGGCGTGGGGAGCACGGGCCATCTGAGGGCTCACGATCTGGAGGCCGAGCGGTGCCTCTCTTTGCCTCGGCGCACACCCCTGGGCCCGCTGCCTAGCTTTGGGGTAGGGCGTCAAAGTGGTGGCTGTCACACAAGCACCCAAAGAACAGGTGCGTGTTTCACCAATTGCATCAGGACAGACATTTTTGAGAGGTTCTAAGGAGCCATTCTTGTGGAGCAGCTAGGCCATTTTTTTTTGCAGGGGGCATCGCTGATTTTGACCAGCTGAGGTCTGGCCGCATCCCTGGTGGTTTTCCCTTTCCTTTGCTGGCTGCGGGTGCTCAGCATGTGGCCCTTCATTGTGGACATTGCCTTCCTGGCGGGGAGGTACTTGCCGTTGGTGTTGGGGGGGCGCCAGCCCTCAGAGGGGGACGTGTCCTCGACTCTGCTGCTGTTCCCGGCCATCTGCGTGCTGTCCACCTTGATCTACGAGCTCCTGGTGGTGGGCGCCGCGGTGGCCGCCAAGTGGATGTTGCTGGGGCGCCTCAGGGAAGGCCGCAGAGACGTGGGCAATTTGTTCCTCTTCCGCTTCGAGATCTGCTTCAACCTCACCACCCACGCGGCGCAAGTTATGAGGAGCACGGCCCAAACTGTGGCCAACAATGCGTTCATCAAGGCACAGGAAAAGCAAGCTTGCAAGTCGGGCATGCCCGTCGCATCCTGTTGCATGCTAGGTGGGGTGTTGTGCTGTAGCCAGGCGATGGGTGGCAACGTGTCCTGGAGTTGGATGCCATCTCCGCTGAATGCTGCGGCATACTTGTCAGCCGACCTTGTCACTATTGAGCCCGATGCCTTCACAGCCAGCAAGACCATGCTCAATTGCATCATGCTGAGCCCGAGTATCTCATCTTAACATGGGGTTCATCTTGTATTCAAGCCATTGGCTCCTGTGGCTGTATTGCGCTGAACTCGTCCAACAACAAGCATTTGGATTTTTGGTTCTGCTTGCGTGCTCCTGCCCCGGTCAAACCTGCCGAGCATTGCTAGCGCACATTGAAAGTAGGATGAGGCTTGGGACAGCAGAGGGATGAGTGATATTGGGCATCTGCTTTCTCGATTGGCCGCATCACAGAAGACAAGCCAAGTGATGGAAGGATGTTTGGCAAAGTCTCCTTTCAACTGAATGACCGAAAGAGAGACCTCAAAGCGTGAAGGCAGTTGCCGTCGTTGCATACCTGCGAGGTGATGGCAAGTTGCCAGGGGTGTCGCCAGTAGCTAGCGGATGGCAGCTATGCTGCCACAGGACGGGTTGGCGACAGTGGGTTGTCCACTTCCGAGGGGTTGCGGCTAATGTCACGTTTCTGGCGCACTGCGTTTCGTCACAGGATCCATTTGGGGGCCCGGTCCTTTGTGGGGCCCATGACGATGGTCACTCCCGGCGCCGCGCTGGGGGAGGGCAGCGCCACGATGGATCAGACCTTTGTGCCCCCCGGAATGCTGGTGCCCAGCTGGCGCACGCTGATGGGCACCAGCCCTTTGGCAAGAGTGAGGACGAGAAGTGGGCACCCTCTCTTTCGTCAACCAGTGGGGAGAGCCTTGTAAGAGCTCACACGTAGGCTGTTGCCTGAAACTTCCCTAGAGTCCTAGAGTCAATTGGGGGTGCAGCATTTTGGGGCGAAGGGGCGGCGCCGCACATGGGACATTTCACTTGCTCCAAGGCGTGGACGGCAGATTCATGGTGAAGCGCAAGCAGGATGAGAGACTCCCGCATGGTGCGTTCCCCTACGCATTGTCAGTCTTCCTGAACAGCCTGGCTGGACGTGTCGTGCGCCTATGGCTGCTTGGCACATACATGAGGGTGGCATGAATCTTCTTCTTGGCGCCTTGCAAGCAACCGGGGCTTCCCTGTCTCTTCTCTTGAAGTCGAGGCTGAACTTCGCCATTCCAGCCGTCAGCATGGTGGCTATTCGGTGGCACTGGGGCACTGCTATTGCGCCGTCTCTGGGCATGCTTCTGGTAAGCGACACCACGTCCCTTAGTGCCGCAAAGCTCAGCGCCTCGGCAGGCGCCCGCCGTCGGGCGGAGCCCACGTTGCAACACCGAACTTGGCCGGGCCCAAACTGCCGCGGGGTGACATGGAATGATGCATTCTGATGGCAGCCCGTCCAAGGCACCGATCTGGAACAGCTTCTTACATTTTCTCTGCAGTGGGTTGGCTTGATGCTGATTTTAGATACAATTGGCGCCTTGGCTAGATTTCGGGCGGGAAGCATGGGGCGGAGAGCACATAGTCCTTGGTTCCCGGCCTTGAGTTGTCAGCAGCCAAGGTCACAGCCTGTTGTTTGTCCTTTCCAAGCACCTGGTGCTTGGGCGCGTAACAGAGTCCAGCGGTGGCCAGCTGCGAGGCTGGGGCAACCTGAGATGGGCCCGGTGGCCCAGGTGGGAAGTTGGCCCACAGGTCACGTCCATGTGGCAATGGTTGGCATGATGTAGGAGGGCCTCGTTGTGGACGAATGAATTCTGGAATGGGTAGGGCATCTGGCCGCGCATGCGACCTTACTTGAAAACTGAACCTTTTGCACTTGATGATAGCTGATTGGGATGAGGTCTCCACCGTGACGATCACCGCCTTTAGCATGCTCTCCGTGAAGCTTTTTACTCACACGCCCTTGATGTGCTGGCTGGCGAAGGCAGGTCGCGCCTGCTTCCAAGCGACACTGCTCAACGGTCCGCTGCAGCGAATGAGGGTTGGTTTGAGGAGAGCTCGCTCGGGCAGCAAGAGCCTGTGAGTTGTTACAGCACTTGGGGGGCCTAGTGCGTCCCAGAGCTGTGGGCAGGCAGCCGGTGCCCGTGTGGGCAAGGGCTGCTACATCAACTACCGCGCTCTGCTGACATGTCCGGAACAGGACATGATCACTCTTGGCGACAACGTTTTCATAGGCCGGGAGGCTGTTCACTTGCTTCTTGGGCATAGCCATGCGGCGGTGGTTAGTTTCCCATCGTGCCCCCGGCGGCCCCCATGCTGTGCAGGAGGCGCGTTCTATGCCCACGAGTTCGGGGCCTCGAACTTGGTGTTTAAGGCGGTGAAGGTGGGCGATGGCGCCGCAGCCTGCAACAATGAATGGTCCAAGCAGAGAGGAGACAGAGAAAAGAGCGATCTTTGCAGTGGCTCTATGCAAGCCTGCGGGGTTTTGTTTGGCTCAATCCGAGGCGCCCACACCGGCGGCCGCGCCGTGCTGACCCCGGGCTCCCGGGTGCCTGCGGGAGCCATCAGCTTGGAGGGCGCCCTGGTGATCCCTGGCAGCACCGACCCCAAGTCCGAGAAGAAGCAGTACCTCAGCGGCGCCCCGGTGCGAGAGCCAGCGGGCTTTGCTTGGCTTCGGTTCGGTTCGGTTCGGTATTGTTTGGTTGGTTGGTCTTTCGTTTCTCTATGCGGTGTTTGGTGTGTTTTGTTTGTTTTTGTGTTTGGTTTGTTTTGCTTTGTTTGTTTGGTTGGTTTGTTGTTTCACTTGTTTGGTTGGTTTGGTTTGCTTGATTGTTTGTTTGTTTTTCCACACCGGTAGCTTAGGGTTCTTCAGCCACACAGGCTTCGTGAGCCACATCGTTTGGGGCAACAGTTGCAGGCCGGCCCCCGAATGGAAAACACCGAGATAGCTAGGCTGCGACACTTGCAACCACACACCAGGCCCGCGTGCCTTGAGCCAACCATGTTTGGAGAATTGTTGTGCGAGCTCGTGCCTTCTTTTCAGTTTGGGTATGTTCGAGCCTCAGACTGCTTTCCTTCCCCCAAGGCCAAACATACTCCGCAGCCTAAGGAAACCCCGCTGTGGCCGAGACCACTCCCTTTGATGGCCTGCTGGAAGTGAACGGCCGACATCTCTGAAATGCCTCTCGCTGCTCTCAGAAGTGAAATCGCTTCTCGGAGGCAGTGCGATGATGCAGTGCGTAGTGATCTTCGTGTGTGGTTGGGTCGCAGTGGACAAAGTGCTCGGCACATTTGATATGACAATTTCTTAGCGGTGCAATTCACTCCGTTGTTTCAGCCAAGCTTTTCTTGCTTGTTGAAATTGCTGGCATGACTTTAGACACAATGGGCGCCGGCACGTGCGGCTCCAGGTTTTCATACTTATATGTTGGACGGAGACAATTCCTTTGACATATCCTTTCTGCCCCTTGATTGAACCTTTCTTGTGCCAAGTGAGCTGGTCCCCCAAAGAGCAGCAGTACCACCAAGCACATTAGGCAGTTTTGGCAGTTCCCCATGTTACAACCAGCAGGCACCAAGGCAACAATCAGCCACCAATGCTTCAATATTGAGACCCCTCCTCAAGCATGCTGGCGTTGGCATCTCTGCGAAGGGCGCGGCTGTGCCCCGCCATGTCCTTTGTAACTGACCGACTGCCGAACCCCTGTCGCAGCCGATGGTCCCTTTGCCACTGAGCATTTGTGTTTTTGGAAGGCGGTCCCATGGTTCCGTTCTCCAATTTGTTTCCTTGTTTGTTTTCTCTTTTCTTTTCTTTGGGCATGGTCTCCACGGGCCTCCGGCTGAATCCGGCGGACCGGGAGCATGGCCTGGCGCTGCTCGGCCGGGCGCCCCGGGTGGGTTGGTTGGTTGGGTTGGCGGGCGCCCCGGTTGGGTTGGGTCAACATCCCTTGCATCCCCGGGCTGCCCCCCGTTTTGGGGCTGGCTGGGCTGCACCGCTTGGAATTTTGCTTGCGCCCAGCAATAATAAGTACTGCTGAAACCAGCCCCAAAACCTGACACAAGCCAGCCCAAAGCCACCCCCCCAAGTTTTCCCAAGTTCAACCCTGAACTAAGCCAATCAAAAGCCAACATGCCTGTCTTGCGGTGGCAACAACAGGTCAAGGGGGAGACTGAGCACGGAGATGCCAGCAATGTTGCCCTCAGCCCCTGTCACTGCCAACATCCTCATGGTTCAAGACCTCCAGACTGGCTAGGAACAGCCATCCCTAGACAAGCAAAACCTGCCGACCAATGCGCGCTGGGCCGTCTTGACGCGCCATTTGCGTGGGATGAGGCGAGAGCAACGGCCGGCAAAAGGCGAGACCGTCATCGTGTGGTTGGGCCGGGCCTGTGGTCTTCTCCCACTCTGGTTGAGATGGAGAGGGCCTCATGGCATCTCTCACTCAGCCTCCATGCGATTCTCTCTGGCTGGCTCGCCGCCAGGCCCAACGGAAGTCAGGTGGCCAATGGGTGGAGGCCTCAGGTCCTTGCCCTTTATGGACCCTTGCTGCTTGCAGCCAAGTAGCCTTTCAGTGGAGCGGGGCATGCTTGTTTGTGTCAATCCAACCCAATTCATCGGAGATTGCTCTCGCGAGTCCGTGATTTGGGGGATCAGCCAGGGTTTGCAGAGGTGGGAGTGAGAGCCACCCACGGCGTCGCGAACACCGGCCGCTGGGCCTTTTGCGCCGCGAGCTTGGTCAGGCGCTCCCCACTTGCGCAACGAAAAGTGTAAGAGAAGCCATGCAACCGTGTTCACGAGGTTTGCTTGCTTGCGATTTTGAGACGCGACCTTTCGGCGACACACTCCACGAATGAGGTAGATGCATGTGATAAAACCTTGGTTATACAAGAATGTTTCACTTTTGCGGTGCATGGGAACTGCTGAGGTGTGGAATGAGAGTGGAGGCAATCTCCGTGTCGGCCATGGGTCTCAGACGCTGGCCAGGTTTGGAACGTTCCAAAAGGAACCCGGCAGAAATCGCAAAAAAGTCCAGACTGATGCTGAAGAGAACCCAAGCGAAAGCGCTTATGAAAGCCAACTGTTTTAGTTTGGCTGTCGGCACGTGCAGTTTGGCTGTCACACGTGACAAGCGACTTCCCCAATCCGGTGCTGCGCTGAGGCTGGTCCTGCGCTGAGGCATCTCTGAAGCTGGGCCCGCCCGCCGTGAACTTTAAAAGAAATGGACAGGTTTGTCTCAAACTGGGGCCCTTATCAAGTTGATTGAGCATCCAAGTGGCGCCCCAAAGCGCCGAATATGTTCTTTGGTCCAAAAATTGGTTGGGTTCCTGTCTCTAGCCAGACCCTCTCCATTCCGTTCGCAGGGCCTTCTTTCTTCCTTGTGTCCCCTCTTCTGTTGCATTCTTGCCTTGTGCTTACTTTTTTGCATTCCTTTTCGATTCCTTTTCCTTACTTTGCTTCCTTCCTTTTCTTTTCCTTTTTCATGTTCTTTTCCTTTTTCATATTCTCTTTCTTTCTTCTCTTTCTTTCTTCCTTTTTCTGGCCGCAGAGTTGTGCTGGCATGCCTGTGGCAGTTTGTGTTTTGCCAGGCACTGACAAATGGTCCTTCGGCTATGGGGGCACGGCCACGAAATCCCATTCAGGCCAGTGAGGAGCCCAGACCAATAAACTGGGCCTTGGTTCCAAAGCCTGAAAGGGAAGGCCAAAAGGCAGCTGTTTAAGTTTAAGCTGTTTCAGTTTGGGTTTAAGCATGTTTGATTTTGCAAGGGGTTGGCAAACCCAACCTTTTGGAATCTTGCTCTCGTGATTGGCGCAGCGGTTTGGAGGGAAAGGGAGAAGCCTCAAAAGCAACAGATTCAAACAGATCGTACAGATCTTGCCTTGTCCGCGTTCGCATGGCCGTTGGCGTGGGCCGGTGGGTTCGAGCCGTCGACCCAGGTTCACCAAGTACGGCCAGACCTTTGGGCAGCGTGACGTGGGGCGCCTGGAAGGTGAAAAAGGTTGGTTTCTGTGAGGTCTCGGGCCCCCCTGCTTTCACACATTTGTTTGTAGCGACCGTTTGCTGCTCCTGGATGCAAAGCTTTGTTTGCCCGCGCTCCGATGGGTCATTTGCAGCTTGCCAAGGTTCAAGTTGCATGGTGCCTCATGCATGACTATTTTGAAGGGTCAGACCCTGGCTTTGGTGGCCTAAGATGCAGGCAATAGCTGCTCCTGTCGCCTGTGGCTTTTCTGGAACCGTGACCCATAAATCCAGGCAGCAGGCTGCCAACTGGAAGACACAAAGGTCAAACCAAGAACGAGGAGCAACATCGTCGCTGTGCTGCGGACTTTGGGTGGTCCTCAGTTTGTCTGTTGGTCAGCGCAAGTTGTTGCGGCGGGCCAAGAGCCACGACCAGGAGCCCAAGGTGGATGTGAACGGAACGCTTTTGGGTGACCGGCCAAAAGTCAGGTACGCGTGGCAGATTCCTCAGGCAGCAGGGCCCGAGATTGTCTTAGCAGGCTGTTCCAACGCAGGGAAGAGCACGCTTTTGAACGCAGTGCTGACCTCTGTCGGGCTTACGCCCACCGCCCCTGTCTCGGACAAGGGCGGCCGCACCCGGACACTGAATTGGTACCCCTATGGCTTCTCTGGACCGATTGGCTGGGACCGCACTGGGGTGCGGCTAGGGACCAACCCGTTCTACGATGAGGAGGAACAGCTGACTCTAAATGGCCGCGGCTGCTGCATCGTCGACTGCTTTGGTCTGGGCAGGGTGGATTTTTCCCTCCCTGCGCGGCGCCTCCAAAGTTGGGGGCCGCTGCTGGAGGGATACATCGGCAGGCGAAGGGCGGTGAACACTGTCTGCCACTTGATCAGCAGCGAGCAGCGGCTTGCTGAACTGGCAGCTTCTTGTGTGGTGGGTGAAATTCAGAAAAGCCACTCTTTGTTGAACTTGGTTGGCGCAGAACTGGGGACATTTCATTCTTCTTGCCCTCCCTCCCGTCCAGGCTCTTTCCGTCAAACAGTTTGTAAGGCTTGGCACTTGTGCATCTAAGGGCTGCCGCCCTGATCTGCCGACCCCAATCTGAGCACATTTTAGATTAGCTAGCACAACATACGTCACTGCTTTCATGCAGGCAGGCGCGTGTATGCGTATATAGATACACCAAAGCTGTGACTCGTATTTACATTTCTTGTTTCTGGGGTACGGATGTTGACAACGAGAGAAACTCACGTTGGAGCCAGACTGCCATATCATTACAACCCATACGTTTCATGGCCCTTTTTGATTATGACGGTGATATTGTCGTGTCACGCTTGGGGGTGTCGACAACATTCAGAAATAAGCGTCACCTGCAAGCAAAACAACAACAAACATCTTATTTACTAAGACAGGTGACGCTGCGGATGGTCCTTGGTTCTCAGACACCATGTTGTCTTTTAGCAAAGCAGCCACCGGGTATTTCAGCCCAGCTTACTCCCACCTATGATCTGGTGATCATCTTGTTTTCAAAGATTTGTTTGATGACAGTGCCTTGTGGTTGAATTGTTAGTGCAACAAGGATTTGTTGCCAGCCTCCCCAAGCGCCTCCCCTCTTGGCAAGACGGGGTCGGCGGATATGGTATAAACGGCCTCCTTGTGGTTTCGCTCTAAAAGGGACTCCGCCCAACCCCTGGCCCCGCGCTTTTCCCAGGCAGGGGGCCCTCTCCCCGGGGGACGAGCAGCTCATCGACATCTGGCAGGCCTGCGACCGGCGGCGCAGCCGTGCGGGCCTGGAGCCGCTGCGCTTCGTGCCGGTGCTGACCAAGATCGACCTCCTGGAGGGGCAGCTGGAGGCGCGGTTTCCTTCAGGGCTCCGGGGGCTTCGGGGCTTCGGGGCTTCTGGGCTTCGGTTTTTCCTAGGTGCCATAGGTACCTGGCAACTTGGGGCGGTGGTTGTGTTTGTTTTCGTTTAGTTCGCCGTTCAGGCTGTTCAGCCTGAGCCCCAAGTCTTTCCTTGAATGTTTCAAAACTCATCATCCAATTTTCCAAGAAGACCAGGAGACCAAGAAGATCCTCCAGGGCTGCTTGGAAGAGCGTGGCCGGGAGGCGGCGCAGATTGTGTGCTGCAGTTCCTTGGAGGATTCAGCATCCGGAATTTTGGAGGTGCAAGAAGTCTTGGAGGACCTGGGGGGTCAGGCAGCGGGAAGACACCAGGGAAAGAAAGACAACTTGCCAATGTGAGCATCCAAGTCTAAGTGGGGGCTTTGGTGTTTTCCGGAGCCTTCCGCCACGTCTCCCGTTTTTTTGAGAGGACGCCATGGCGCGTGGCTGGGAGGCGCTGGGCAGCTGGCAGCCGGAGGCCTTCCTGGCGCCGCAGCCGCCGGGGGGCCGCACAGTGCAGCAGAAGCGGCAGGCGGGGCTCCATGGTTTTGAGGGGAAGGGGGCGGCGGAAAAGGAGGGAGGCGTTGAGGGAGTCGGGCCATAGGGAATGAGCCTACCCACTGGTGCCCCTTTTGCCTGAGACCTCTCTACTGTGGGGAGAGGGTTGGGGAATGAAGCTATGAAGCTATGAAGCTATGAGAAACAGGCGGAGGAGCAGGCGACACATGCCTTCAGAATTGGGTCTTGATGTCATGGCGCAGCTTCCTTTGGTATGCAAACCAAGATTCGTAGGTTCGGGGAGGTTTCAGCGCCAATGCACAAATGGTTTTTTCTGTTGTGAACTGTTGTCCTGTGTATGTTCCCCTTTTCCATACGAAATCAAGCAAAGCAGCCTCACCTGAGGAAGAATTCACGCACATCCCTACGTAGCGCAACATGATTTACGAGTGCAGTGCACTAAGGCGCTACCATTGTAGGACACTCTCGTTTCCAAATCCAGGCCCGTTACATGGAAGTGTGCCACGGTAGATTTCGTGGCTTGAGAACTTGGGGCACCTGACCCACGTTTGGGGGTTCTATGAGCAGGCAATCGGCCATTTACGGGAAACGCCACGGTTTCGGGCTTAGGGCCCATGCGGCCTGCCACCCCCAAACAATTCAGATTCACATGTGGTTTGTACCACGAATTATTTGACGCTTGAGTCGCATGTGTGAGGTGAGTGGGAGGTTTTCCCGGGTGGCCAGGTCAGGGCCATGTTCGTCCAGACCCGCAAGCCAGCCGCGTGGAAGCCTCCCCAAGGGGGAGCGGGGGCTTCGACGCAGGCGCCCCCTCGCGTGTGAAAAAAGTGTGCGGTGCCTGCAGGTGTTTTATTGCAGCGGTTTCTGTATGTATGTACGTCTCGTTGCTTGTTTGTTTCTTTGTCTGTTTGTCTGTTTGTCTGTTTGTCTGTTCGTCTGTTTGTTTCTTTGTCTGTTTGTCTGTTTGTCTGTTTGTCTGTTTGTCTGCTTGTCTGTTTGTTTGTTTGTTTGTTTGTTTGTTTGTTTCTGTGTGTGTGTGTGCGCTTGTGTGTGGGGGTGGGCCATGAAGCTGCCTTGTCTGAAGGCTGAAGTCAGATCTGCAAGTAGGGGACCATGAGGGGCTACTTTGTTGCCAACATTCGTCTACTATGTTGATGACTTGAACTGGTTTTTGTCGTATACGGGCATGCGTGCGTTCCCCACGCAAGCCTTTCGAGGCCATAACTTGCTGTATAGACCTGGATCGTCGAGCCATTACGCCGCTTGGCGCACTTGGCTTCAGTGCTTGGAAGCCCGAGACAAATCTGTTCTTTTCGCATATCTGGAGAAGAGGGGCATCCTACACGGTGTTTGCATGCTTCATGGCACTTGCGACATGCCCAGCCTGAGGTACATGAAGAATGGCCGGGATATTCCAGGAGATGCGGCGCTCTCAGCTTCTGGAACCCGGAAAGACTACAGCAGGGTCCCCAATGACTCTTGCAGCTTTGCGCCCAGGCGTTCAACCTCAGCAAGGATTTGCATGGCTGGCCACTTTTCCCGCATGTCGGCCGCCAAGCCTGGGGCGGCAGGTCTGACGCAGGGGCGAGACATACACAGCAGGCCTTGTTTGGCGCTGGCCAAGGCATAGAATCGGAGGCTGAAGTTTCGCAGCATTCGGCGACCTCAGGTCTACACTAAGGAAGCCACTTTCTCGGTGTCCTTCGATGGGCGAGGGGGTGTCAGAACCCGAGCTTGTGATGCTTGTGGTTTGGGCGGTCCAGGTATGGTACATGCAGAGAGGGATCCTTGACACCTATGAGTTTCATTCAAGGCACATTTGAGGCTCCTACATCCCACACCCAGGACTTTTGCTGGTCAAGGATGGTCCTGGCTACTTGCTATCTTCAATCTTGGCTTTTCTCCTGTGACTTACCCTGTCTCCCAGGGGCTGGGTGGGGGGTTCACCTGCTCGAGGCTCCGCCGCTGGTTGGGGGCTACGCATGGATTTCCACCGCGCCGAAGGCCCTGCATTTTCTCCTGGATGGGTGGGGGCTGTGCAGGCCGGGATGCAAATCACCAAATTGTTTGCCAGGGTGTCCTGGTGCCGCACCCGAAGCAGCCTCGACCTGGAGAGGGCCGGGAACTGGGAACTTGGCTGCCTCGGGCAATTTCGCTCGGAGAAGCTGGCATTAACCGGTGGTTTTACGTAGCTAGTTCGGTTAGATGCGACTTTCCAGGGGGGAAGGTGACCCCTGGCTCAGAACACTTCTCCAGTGTGATGGTCCAACTTTATCCCCAGAGTTGAAGGGATCAGTCCACGGAACGGAGAGCCCTGGCATGACAGCACATGAGGGATACTTCTTGTTTGCCCTCGGCCGAGGCATGGAGGATGTTGATCAGGCGCATGGGGGCTGGGGCTTGTCATATTGGGTTTGCGAGTGCCAGCCAGATGGTGCTGGGAGCAAATTATGAGCGGGCAAGGGCAGAGGCTGCCCTTCGAACTGGTGTTCAGTCACAAGACTGGCTCCCAGCTAAACAAGACCAGCAAAGAGCACAGCTTGTTTGACGGGACGGCATGCGCACAAGTGCAAATGGTTCAAATGGTTGGACTCGTGCAGTTTGCTTGTGCCTTTGAGTTCATCATTATCCCTTGTGGGCCTCGGCTGTTTGAGCGGCATCTCAGTCGAAGAGCGACGGTGCCGCGGGCTTTGTGCTCACACCCTATGGCTGGCGCACAGCGGACGAAGCTGGCGTGCGGAGGGCTCAGTGGCTCTCGAAGCTCAGTGGCTCTCTCGCAGCTTCTCTCCATAGCCATGCTTGAAATGAAGAGGCAGGCAAGAAGCCCTGCTGGCCACAGGCTTCCGCTTAAGTTGGAGCCTGGTTGAGTGGACTCCTGACCGTCTGCAGCTTCCAGAGTGTCAAATCATGACAGCGCAAGTTGTGCATCAAACCGTTCATGGCACAAGCAGCAGAGAAGAAACAGCATGCCACAGCCCTTAGCAAAGTTGGGAGCTTGGGCCTTGGCGGCTGGTCGCTTCACTTGAAGCAACGGCGCTCGCGTGGCATGACGAACAGCCGGACTGGAAGAGCCGTGCCTGGGGATTGCAAGTACGAGCCCCTGACGCCGGGCTCGAGCCTTGGCAACCAGTGGCAATTTTTATGGCTGAGGTTTGCAGTGGCATTCCTACTGCTAGTACTCCCCTGTCGGACCTACCGCAAGCAAAACATCAGAGAAGAAGTTGCCTCATGACTGGACGGAATGTCTAACCTCCAGATGGCTGCCACACCAGTTAAATTCACATGGGGAGGATTCGCTCAGCATTCGTCGCAGCGCACAGGGCCAACCTGTCGCAACTAGGAACCCTTTGGATTGGCGCGAGAGGCGCCATAGGTGCCATAGGTGCCATAGGTGCCAAGCCAAGGGAGCCAGAGCCAGTGCAACCCAAGACGCGGCCGTGCGGGTGCTCATGCATCCTCAAGGTGGTGCTGGTGAACATGCTGGCATTGCCTCTGCAGCTGCTGTGGCTGCCTTTCTTTGTGCTCTGGGTCTTGCTGGGGCGAGGGCCCTAGTCTGGTTGAAATTGCGAGGCTTGGGAAAGGGCCAAAGAAGAGCGACAAAGTTGAGAAGGGCTGGGTCAGATACTGATGTTATGGTGAGCATGAAAGCTAGTTTGCTTTTTCCTTTGCCTCTGAGTGTGAGGTTTTCTCTCGGTTGGGTTGTCGGTTGCTTGCTTTCGGGGATCTGCCTGCTTCATAGTGGAGCAATCTCCTTGAAGGCTTCCCATTCCTTCCCCCACATTGCCACCCACTTTCCGACACCGTTTCCAGGGCCCTAATCCCCGGTCGCTTGATGCGCCGGAATTCCAGGCCGCTGGCGCTGTGCTGCAGCCGGTGCCGCTTGCGGCGCCAGCTGGCGGCCATTGACCGGGAGGTCCAAGACCCGCTGGTGGCACCCAGCTGGGGCTCAGCAAAGGCGGCAAGCCGTGTCATGCTTGGATGTTTGCGGCTCCTTGTCGTGGGGTCCATAAACTCGGGTCATACCCTTACATGGAGATATGAGCATGTACCCCTTGATGTGTGCCGCGCCCAAAAAAGAGGACGGCAGTGCTGCGCCAGGGGCTCTTCAGCCGACCCTTGCTGGGCGTCGATGTTTCTAACTGCTGGGCCATGGTTCTGGTGATGCAGCTCCTTCTGCCGCTGCTAGTAGTGGCTTGGCAAATGTGGCCGGGCTCCGGCGGGGGGTGGGCGGGCAAGCGCCTTAGCCCCGCCAGGGTTCCTGCGGAGGGTGGGAGAGAGCAAGAGAGAGAAAGAGAGAGAAAGAGAGAGAGAGAGAGGGAGAGAGAGAGAGAGAGAGAGAGAGAGAAAAAAAAAACAACAACAACAACAAATAAATCAGGGCCGAGGGGAGGCGCGCAGCCAGCTAAGCGGTTGAGCTGGGTGAAGCACCGGACAGAGACTTTGTTTTGCTCAGGCGAACGCGCTGGCGGCGAGCGTGTTCCCTGCGTACCACCTGCACATATCTCGCCTGGCCAAATGGCAGGCGACCCGCGAGTCAGGCAGGCACCCATTCGAACTAAACCATCCGCCTCCTGCAAACACCTCATTTGAAAGAACGATAGCTTCCAGGGCGCGCCTGCTCAGGCTTAGTGTAAATTATTGGAGACGGACCTTCAGCTGGGCATTTTGCGTTGCGCAAACGTTGGCGACAGCAGTCCGACAGCATTGGTTTTCGGTCCCCGGTTTTCGGAACAGACTAGCTTTTGGTCCCCAAGTCCTTCCCACGAGCTACGAGCTGCACGGCCGCCAGTTTGTCAAAAAGATCTCCATTGCTGCTTGCATGGCAGCCAGGCTGCTTGAGGATCCTTTTCTCATGGTACAGCTGGCTGTGGCAGCTGATGGTTGTCACGATGCCTTTCGTGCACAAGACGCCTCGAGCTGCCTGCTCATTTGCACGCATCTTGGCGGGGGCAACTGGCGTGCACGGATGGGCATAGCAAGCAACTTGTTGCACCCGAGCTATTCACCCATAAGGCAGGCTTGTTCAATGCAACCTAACCACGTTTACAGCACGTAGCCAGCGCATGGCCAGCTTGAACGCAAGGTACGTCGCAGAATGAGAAGAATGTCTGGCGGCATGGCCTAGGCTCCTTGCCACATGAAGTGCATGCATGCGGGAATCATCAGCTCGGCTTTTTGGGCCAGCATTTGCTTTGTCTTGGCCTTTTTCCCTTCCAAACTGCAGACAGTTCTAGTTTTTGACGGGCACAGGCTGCACAGGTTGAACATATTCTGGGGCAAGCATCGGGTAGGCCAAATGGCTGGGAGCTATGAGGATGTGGACAGAGCTGCCTCGGGCCCAAGCTTCTGTATTGCGTGCACCGATGTTCGTGCACATGCTGGTGAGATCACAGTTCTTACCATGCCACAAATGCGCATTACTTGAGTGAATCTGGCTGAGGCCCAGACTGCGCAAAGCCGAGGTGGTGGCAGCCTTTGCCCAGATGGCTTGCCGTCGGAGATGATCATCTTTTTGCCCAACGAGGCCTGGTGGCCGGATGTGGCATCAACAGGCTACATGTGTCACCCACCGGCAAAAAACACTGAACGCCTTGACATGTTTGAGATGCCGCCCCTGTTCTAAGAGATGACTTGTGCGGGGTGCCTCGAAAGCTTTTCGACTTGCCGCTGGGCCCTGCGCCAGGCTCTTGGCCATGAGCGGCAACAAGGGTCCAAGTGGGCGGAGCTGCAAAGGCTTGTGCAAGCGCCTTGGGCTGCAGCCCCCGCCTGGTCCCTTTGGTCTGGCGAAGTTGTTCAGGCATCAAGAAAAAGACAAGCGTATGTCCGTGAACAGGTTCCCAGTTTTTTTCGGAGGCTGAGGTGCCGCAAGCCATTTGCCGCGGCATGGGCATCATTGTTTCATTGGTTCAATGTCATATGATGTCATGCAGAGCCGACATGAGAAAGGCTCAACATCCATTGACCTTTGGTTCGACCGAACAAGTTACACGCATCAATGTCGCAAGACGGGCGGAATGGGATCTCAGGGTTGCCCATAACATGGAATTGCCTTCTGAGGGTGCAAGATTGCAGCTAGGCTCGGCCTGGTGAAGATAAAGCTGATACTGGGAATGGTGGCGGGTCGAACACTTAAGGAAGCCAGCGCAGACCGCGACCGGGTGTTCCACTTGAAGGACTGCGCAGTTTGTTTGGGGCCCGGCCATGGCAGTGGGTGAATCACGGCCAGGCACTGCTGAGACAGACCTGGAAAGAGCCGAGTTTGGGCAGCTTGTCATCACCAACTGTGGCTTGCCTGATTTCATCGGTAGATCAGGTGAGAAGAGGCTTGTACTCATTGCATCCGTACAGCGTTTAGTTGCATCTCTTGTTCTGCGTTTCTTTCCCTCCCCAAATTTAGAGAGACCATTTTCAGAAGTTCAAGATAACTTTCGGTTCGGGAGATTGCCCAAGAACCCCCCAGGCTGGCTCTTTTCCGGGGGCTTTCTGGTGCAGGAAAGCTTTGATGGCCGCTCTAGAAAAAGAAACACGCGTTTTGGATGAATCTAGGTAGCCTGGTTGAGGGGCTGGAGTTGCACTAGTCACTTGGTTGGGGCAACCCGGCTGCCCAGAAAGCCGCCCCGCTGGTGGCCAAGTGCCTCTTCTACACCTTCTTCGGGCAGTGGCTGGAGGAGTGGATGGGAGGGGAGAGTGTTTCGTACACGCATGCGCGCAAACACAGGCACGCCAAGACACACGCAAATACACATGAACGCATGCACGCACACACACACAAACTCACAAACACGAATGCGCACAAATACAAGTACACAAAGACACAAACACCCACACAGACACACACACACACAGGCGTACATGCATGCATGCAAGCATGTACGCACATACATGCATGCACGCATGCATGCATGCATACAGGCAGGCCGGCCGGCCGGCCGGCAGGCAGGCAGGCAGGCAGGCAGGCACAACAAGAGACAGACAGACACAGACAGAGACAGAGATAGACAGACACGGGCAGACAGAGAGACATACAGAGAGACATATAGAGAGAGGCATGGAGAGACATACAGAGACAAAGAGAAAGACAGAGGGTGAAACAGAGATACGTCTCTCTTTGTTTGTCTCTGTCTTTGTCTGTGTCTATGTTCTTGTCTCTGTGTTTCTCTGTCTTTCTGTCTTTCTGTCGCTCTGGCTCTCAGTCTCTCTGTCTCTCTGTCTCTCTGTCACTCACTATCTCTCTGTCTTTCTGTCACTCTGTCACTCTGTCACTCTGTCACTCTGTCTCTCTGTCTCTCTGTCTCGTTTGTCTGTCTGTTTTTCTCTTTGTCTCTGTCTGTCCATGTACACTACACAGATTGACTGTCAATACATGTTTGAATTGGTGTGTGTGTGTGTGTGTGTGTGTGTTGTCTTTGTGTGGGTCTTTGTGTGTCTTTGTGTGTGTGTGTGTGCATGCATCCAGGTCTGCCTGCCTTAACACGGCATGATCCCTTGTGAGTGACCTCAGTTTGAAGCTCACTGGATTGCTGGATGCGATTGAAGGATGCTTGGCCACCTTGACACGACTTGTCGGGTCCCTGGCAAGGACATGGAGGCGGAGATGTTTGGCGAATGGGTGAGCGTGGCTGACTCCTTGGCCTACCCCAGGCTTGTCCACAGGCCTCCGGGGTCCATATTCGGTTGACCATTTTTGCCCAGGGGCAGGGGCCGCGTTGTTCGAGACGTCGCGAATGACGCACTTTCGGGTCGATTCGGAGCCTGCATGCAGCCTGCGCTCCATGTTTTGCCTGGTGACTCGGCGTGATCGGGCCATGTTTGCTTGGGCCCGCCTTTCTCAAACCCTGCCCTACCCCGCTACCTGGAGCCTCCACTGGGCTTGGCAAAGCAAATCTTGGGACACATTTTTGCAGTTGCAGCTGTTATTCGTTCATTTGTCGTCGTTCCAAAAGGGCCAACTTCCTTCCCACATGTCAAGTCCACTGGCTTTCAAGCTTCGGCCAGCTGGTTGCGGTCGCCCCAAGAGCCAGGTGCGCCTTCAACCTCCTGCTGCTGCCCATCCAGCGCCTCCGCGCCAGGACGATCGCCCTCATCCGGCGGCGCCGGCTGGAGCCGAGACCTCGGACTGGGGGCGATGGGGGCGGTTGGGGTGGTTGGGAGGCGCTTTGTTGCACGTACCAGCACCTTGTCGACAATATGGTTGGGCAAGGGCAGCGAGGAGCTGCATGCATGGGCGTCCGCCCTTGGCGTTTTCCTTCCTGGGAGTGGGTAGTTGAACCGCCAACGGTTGCGAAGGGTCTTGTTGGGATTGGTTTAAAAGGAAACCAAGAGGAAGCCGACTGTTTTTGGGGTGGCCCGATTGCATTGTTACAGTCAGAGCGGTATGATTTGTTTCATGTGCGTATTTCTGCCTGGCGCTGGCAATTGCCAGACATAAAAAAGCATCAGTGGGGATGCTTCACTTGGCTGGGATGCCCCACCCACTCCGTTGAGAGGCACGGTAGAGCTTGATTTGACGCAGGTTGGGTAGGTAAGCATACATCCCACCGAGGCATGAGTTCACCAGGATGAACGCCAGCATCGTCGAGAAGCAGCGCAGGAATGGATGGATAATATGCTTCGTCTTGAGTTCCTAAATCCAGAAAGCTCTTGGCATCTTTGAAGACGCTCACACTGCAAGCTGATTCTTCAGAAGTAGAAAGGCGGCTGAGTTGCTGGAGTTTCCGCTGCATGCCTTTTGGCCTTTTGGAATCGATGCTTAGTGAGGGGAAATTGCATGCTTTAGGGTCCTTGATTTGGGGCCTGCCTTTGGCCTGGCACGGTCAAAGGCGACGAAAGCTTTCCTCTGGAGCTTTGCGGGGCCGAATCAATCCCACCCTCAACTCGCGCAGGAATGACGTCGAGCTTTGCGACGAATTCCTCTGCATGCTGGGCTTGCTGGGGGTGAGGGCTACCGCAGAGGCCACCGCCTCTGTTTGCAGGCACCTTGGTCAGAGCCATGGTCAAAACCAAGGGCCGTGGATCGCTTAGACCGTCTTCAAGACCCCCAGGAGGGAACCATGACGGGCTGCCAGAAAGAGTTTTGACCACACGTGTTGTGAGGGAAGTAGTCGCCATGAAGCTCGAGGCTTCCTGGCGCCCCCGCCAGGTTTTTGCTCGCAGACGGCATGGGCGCGAACCTTGATGGTGCCAGTAGCTCCGACATGATCAAGCTCTTTCGGCAGAATCCCGAGGCAGGAGATCAAGATGTGCCATGCACTGTGCTGACCGCAACGTTCTCGAGATAAAACTCGGCCAGGCCTTCATCATGGAGTCCTGCCGCCTGCAGGCGCCCATTGCCTCCTTCGTGTCCGACAACTCCACGTGTTGGGCGGGCAGCTTGGACTTGGCCAACTTGGACGCCGCGGTCTTCCCGGATCCTTTGAAGTTCGACCCCGGGCGCGCCAACTTGCGAGATGCTTTGACCTGGAATGGCCGGACCTACCCGGAGGCTCCTCCGGAAAGCAAGAAGACGTCGCCGGCACGTCGAAACCAGTACCCCCGGCTGTGCCCGGGGAGGCAGCTCAGCCTCCACGTGGTAAAAATCCTAGTGGAGGTGACCCTGGAAGCGTAAACGGCCCAGGGTCCTCTCTTGCTTTCCGTGACATCATGGAAGCACGGTCAAAAATGCGCGGCGATGCTGTGGCTGACAGTAAGCAGTAATCTTGGGGCGTGTTTGGGCACAGATTGAGGCTGCAGTCAGACCACTATGCTTGGCATCCGGAGCTGGTAGGTCTTCACTTCATGATGCCCTGCCAAGCCAAACCACCTGTCAGTGCGCTTCATTTCTGCTTCTGGCTGCTTTCGGAATGCCTGAGGTCAGCGTCTGCTCAGGACGGCTCTGTTGGGTTGGATTACTGCCCTTAGGGCAGAGCGCAGCCACTAAATGCAAAGCGCGGGACTCTCGGACCTTGTGCGCCGATTTGTCATTGCAGGAGTGGCGCGGGGCTTTGGATGCTTACGTGCCCGGGCAGAAACAGTGCTGGACATCGGTTGGGGGGGCTAGGAAGCATCAGGCTGACATTTAAGTTGGTCAAAAGGGCATCGTCGGCAATGTGTTGCTCAAAGTGCTATCGAAGGGGAATCTGAGTGCGAAAGGTTCCCGTCCTGACGCCATTGTTTTTAATGATGTGTTTCTCACCGTCTAAACTTCAGGAAAGGTCTAGTTTCTCTTTCATTCCAGGGACATCCCTAAGGCTTCGAGACCCCCCGCAGCCTCTTTTTGCCACAGCCACCTTGACTCCCACCCTGAGACCGCTCAGAGGGTCTTGGAGCCTAGGTGAAGCACTTCACCTCCCTGTTGGAGTCCGGGGCCCTGAGCCTTGAGGCATGGGTTGGCTGAAGATTCTGGAGGGGGAGCCAGCTGTAATAGGAATGGGGGCAGAAGTAAAGCTTTGTTTTTGTCGCTACGAATTGGAGGCAAGATATATCCAGCCCCACTAGCGCATGTTAAAGTTGCTGCGGTCAAAAAAAGCTCGTAGTTGGATTTCTTCTGGATGTGCATGTGGCTCAGCTTGGACATCTTGCTGAAGAACGTGTCTGCACTTTGCTGTGTGGTGTGCCATTTAAAGGCTGTTACCTCGAGGAACTTCAATCTCTTCAACAAGCTGACGTGTAGGTCATTGCAGTTGTTGCTGGAAGGGGAATTTGGGTCGTGGACGATCGCGGCCTGTGGCCTAAGGTTGGAATATGAGGCGGAGAAGGAAGGAGTCCTCGACAGAGCATGAGCCCCGGATGTGGATGGGGCTGCGTTTCCGTCGCCCAGGGCGGATTCATTCCGGCCCAGGTGAACAAGCGCAACCCCAACCAGCTTGTGGCTGATGGCACGGGGGTCCGGGCCTTGCCCGCAGCGCCGAGCAGAGAGGCACTGCTTCAACTGGGCTTAGCCGTCGGCTGGTAGCAAGCATACTGACTGAAGCAGAGTGGGGAAGCAACGGTTTGATAAGTTTGTTTCCTTCCAAAAGGGATTCTTCAACACCCTTCCAGCATTGCTCATGCCGCCCCGCGCACCCTGCATACCGCCCAGATTTGTGGCCTTGGGGCTGACTTCGATCGAGACGCTGGGCGCATCACGCCCGGGGCTTGGCAGCTGCCAAAGCGTCCACCCCAGTTAGTTGATTGCCCTGGATGACTTGGCAGTCAACAATAGCATCCGGAAGCGCATCCTCTAACTTGGGGCTTTAGGCTCTGAAGGCGAGAAAATCTGGGGCCCTCTGAAGATTGAGGCGCAGTAAGGGCAGGTGCGCAATTGCCAAGGTGAATTGAAGGGTGGGGAACCTCAAGCAGGATGTCAGAACAAACATGTTAAAAGAGGTGGCAACAACCCAACCCTGCACAGACTTGCTGAGCCCAGCCACAATGCCTGTTTGGGTGCTGTTCCGGCTTCGTTTTGCGCGGATCTAGGTTGTACTGGGAATGGGGCAGCGTGCTGGCAACTCAGTGGTTCAGACTGACTGCACGAAGATTGGCTTCAAAGACCAAGTCCTTGTGTGTCTGCGTATGGTTTGGGCTTGGCGTAGGGATGGCAGCACAGGCAGTTGAAAGAGTTGGGAATGTGATTGGCTGTTCGTTGTGATTCAATGTGCAAGTATGCGGGATGGCTGCAGGCCCTACCTGAGCGAGATCTCACGAGGTGTCGGGGGGGCGGGAGGGGCGGGAGGGGGGAGAACCAGCAGACGGAATGGGGAGTCAGGGGGCTGAGCTGTAATTGGGTGGGCAATGTGACTTCGCTTTGGGTGACACAAAACAATGGTGAAGAGGGAAATGTAGGGAGGCCTGGGCAAACGCCACCTCCTGAGATGGTTTCTAATTCCTGCTGTGCGCCCATGCTTCTTTTTGTCTCGATGTAGCGAGCATCGGTATGCTCTCCCCCATTTTTGAGAGGCCGGACGGTGCTGATTAGCACTGTGGATGGCGGCGTCGACGTCGAAGATGCGTCGAAGACCATCTCGGGCGAGGCAACGTGTCGGGCGGAATGTGGCCATGCACAAACATCATGTCATCAAAGGTGGCCGGTGTTGGCGAACGCGATCACTTTCGAATGTACCAGTAGTCGCCAGGCAAACGAAGACACACACACACACACCTGCAAATTGATAGAGGTGGAAGCTATTTCCAGCGACTGCATCATGGTGGTGACGCAGTCAGACACCCAGAAATGCGGCGAAGCGCTGGCATCAAGTCAGCCAAGAAAGCAATACATCGACCGGGCATCGCAGAGAGCCCTGCCAAGGGAGCCAGTGCAAACTCGACTCCGACGCGCATGAGTAGGTCCGCGCCTGGAATTCCGCTTGTTCGGCCGAGGTACGAGCGCTTGCCTGCAGGACGGTGCGGAGCCCCGGCGGGTTGAACTGCCAACTTGTCTATGCGGATTTGGTGCAGCAGGGAGGCTCCAAGAATGATTGTGATCACGTGAGTCGGCTTTCTCTTCATTGGACACGTAGGTCACAATTGGATCAAGTGCGGTAGTTTTGCTATTGAAAAATAAGAGCTAGCAAGGGCAGATCCAACCCATTCCATGTTGATTAACCTGGCAGAAGTAACCTGCAATAGAGCAGCTTCTTTCGCTGTTGACACCGAGGCGCGGTGGCCGGAATCATCTTTTCCGCTGGCAGCTCAGCCTTTGTTTCATATGGAAGTGGCCTGAGGGTGTCGAGCAGGCACAGCTCAAGCTTGTGGTTAAATGTCTATTCCTTGAAAGCAGGCGTTTTGGATGGCATGTTCATTTTGTTAGTACATTCCATGTGACCATTCCTTTTCCAGCCGCTTTGGCTTGTTCGGGCTGGGCGGTTTCTGTTTCTGGTTAAGGCGTCGACCTGGGCCCGAACATTGTGGCGTACAAGCGCCGGGACCTCTCTGCGTCAAATCTCCATGCCCCGCCTGAACACCCCGAAGCAATCAAGGCCCATGAGCCCAGTCACAAGCGACATTCAATGCTGATGCTGATCAAAAGCGTGCAATCTCCCTTATCCAGGCACCTTTCTGAGATTCTGCATTGGCGACAGGAGTTCAAACGAAGCACGCCCCTATTATCACCCTTTGAAACGGGGCCCCGGTTTCGGGTTCGCTGGTGCCAAAGGGGCAGCTCTCGCCGTGTGCATTGGCTCAGCTCAAGTCCTGGGAAACCGGGCCGAGCGTGGGCAGCGGGCCGAGATTGCTGGAACGGGTGAGTCGAAATGTTGGGTTCCTTCACTTTCCAAACTATTTCAGGGGGAGATGCCACATCCATGCCCAAGAAGGTGACAGGACGCTGAGAAGCGTGCAACAACAATCCAAGGTGGGTTCGGGACGATGGCTCTCGATAGAGAAGCGTGTGCGAGTTTGTCCGGGCTTCATGACGGCCAGCTGTCCTTTGAGGATGCTTTTTTGAGCTGGGTCTCGATTAAACAAGTGCAAACACCAAAACGACACACAAGCCAACACACACAAAGCACGGAAAACAAGGGCCACGCAAAAGCACAGAAAAGCACGGGGGCAGCTGGCTGTCCCAGGCACGGCATGGAGCTGCGCCTGGTGGGGCTGCTGGCGCTGATCCGGTGTTGCCTTTGGGCTGCGAGGTTGGCTTGGGCTGTCGGGTATGGATCTGATTGGTTCGGGCTGGATTGAGTCACGGCAAGAATGATCAATGGTGGTTGCCTCAACGGTGAGTCCTTCTGTTCGGGGTGCCAAAAGGTGCACGGCTTTCGGTCCAACCTCCCGTTGAGGTTCGTTTGATCAACAAACCCGTGTTTGGGGGCCTTGCCAAGACTGTTCGTTGAATCATGCCTTTGAGTTTGCTGCGGTTCACGAATGAATCGCAGCCAGCGGGCCAGGCATATCCAAGCATACAGTGAGGATCGATTCGTGGGTGCTGGGATTCAGAATGCGGGGTGATAAAGGGTGCTGCCCCTTGCATCACAAGGCACAGGGCTCTTCTTCGAGTTGAAGGCCAAAAGCGCCGGTCCAGCGGCGTCTTGGCTGACTTGGCCCAATCCCATTGGCCCAGCTCTCTGCCTGATTTGTTGGTTTTCTCGTGGTTTGTCGTGGCCGGTTTGAGACACATCTCGTGTCTCAAGACGTGGCTTGCCAAGGAGTGCTTCGAGGTCTCGCCTGGCAAGGGCCACACGGTGCATGGCAGCTATGAGGCCGACGGCCCCAACGAGGGTGTGGTGGTGACCCTGGTGAGCTCCTCCCACAAGGAGCTGCGGGTGGGGGCTTGGGGGGGGGCGGGGGTGCTTAGTGCCAGGTGCTCTGTGTGTGCGTGTGCGCTGCATGTGTATGCAGCCCATCCGGTTTGGCACTGACAAAGAGCGTCTTTTTGCTTTGACCTTGGTCTTGCAATATGAATCTGAGGTTCCCTCAACGGTCGGTCGCACTTCACTGCTTTCAGCAGGTACTCGATTGTGTGAAAGCTCTCTCCAGGGAGCTTCCCCCAGAGCGTGAAGGGCTTTGCTTCAGCCCTTCGCACTGGCCCTTCTGCTGGATTGCAAAGTTGCCATCTAGAGAGCAGCTGTGGAGCAAGGGCCCTCAGCCTGGCGCCTCAGGAGCTCTTCCGCAATGCCCGGGCCTCAATGGTCTGTAGTACGGCCTGTGCGGCTGGTCGCTGGTGCCATGGATGGCAGGCTTTTGTCTACACGATTTTGCAAGCTGACTTGGTTGCTTACACGACACCCCCGCATAAGAAAGTGTCTTTCAAATCTTATTGGTTCTGCGAAGAATGCATAGGTAAATATTAATATCAAGGATAAGACATGCAGTGCTGGCCAGGAATGGTGCAGAACAGTTGCCGCCATCTGTGAACGGGGGTTGGGCTACCCTGAGCATTGGCACAGACAGACGCACGCACACATCCTGCTTTGGGGGTAGTTGGGCCAACACATCACGTCATGCATTGCTTCCCTGACCTGGTTCTCCCGGGCCCCAGGCAAACCCGTCCAGCTTCTTTAGCGTGGAGGCGGGGAGGGGGAGAGCATGGGGTGAGGCAGATGCGCTTTTGGTCAGCTTAGAAACTGAACCCGAACATGCTTGGAACCTGCGGGTGCAAACATTGGACAAGCCCTAGATCGCATGTGAGCACACTGGCCAGCAAAAAGAGCTCGCACATGTTTCTACAAACGTATTGGTCAGCAAAGGCTTGTCATCATGTCATCGTCTTTGTTAGCTGCTTTCTGCTGCGACCATGCAACACTACAAGCTTTAGATCTCTTTTTAGGGAGCGGTTTTCAATACTGGTTTTAGATGAAGCCAAAGCAAAAAAACAGAAAAACAGTGGGAGCTTGCAACTGCAGGTTTAAAGGACACCAAAGCCCAAAAAGAACGCCACCAGTTTTTGGTAACCCAAAGGGAAAACCGGCGGGGCCGGGGGGCCGGGCGGGGGGGGTGTGTTGTTTCGTTTGGCGCGCGGAGGTCACGGAGGAGGTGCCCCACACGCTCTGCTTCGCCAGCTCCGTGGAGGAGAGTCAGATGGCGGGAGCCTCGGGTCGTGGGACGGGCGAGTGCAGCAAAACCACGGCCCTGGGCGGCTGCCGGTTGAGGTCACCCAAATACCAACCGACTTAGAGAAGCCGCCTGTAAGCTTGTAAATGGGGCTGGAGATGTATCCTAGGGGCCCTGACGACCAGGGACCCCCTTTTGGCCCGCTTCAGAAGGACCTTTTCCAAAAGATGAGCTTTAGTTTGCTTTGAGGCACGCCCAGTAGTCCCCCCCCCCACCACGCTGATGGAGCTTTGAAATGAGCAGACTTGTCCACCTCGTATGGTTGTTTGGAAGTGCCCGTGCTCTGGCCCATGATCACACGCACATGTCAGTGCATGCTTGCTCCATTTGGTCCAGCGTCTTACCCTGCCCATGCCCAAGTGATCTTGCGGCCCAGGTGTCCTTCAACTTCCACGTGGACGAGCACGGCGATAGCTGGGCTCTGAGTTGTTTTTCTTCGCGCAGGGAGCGTCCGGACGTTCAAAGCGCGTGGCTTTGAGGCGAAGGGCACCAAGACAAGGAGCACATGGAGTACGTCACCAAGGAGCACACCACCAAGGTGGAGGACCGGAAGAATGTTGAAAGGGGAAATGTAGGGAACACGGTTGTGGCTGGAAGGCACAAAATGGCTCGGTCCCAAGGTGCAGCCTTTGCCAATACCTGGGTGCAGGGTATGCAGCTGTGGTATCTTGGAGTCCTTGGGCAACTCGAGTCGCTAGTTGGAGTGTTTGGGCAAGGAGCTGGTTGCAAAGCTAGAGTCGAAAGCTGGCGACATCCTCGACCAGCAGCAGTACGCTATCACCCGGGAGGCCACGCGGCCAGGACTTGGGTCAAGATCGGGTCAGTGGACATTGGAAGCCCTCACGTTTACCCGGCCCCCTTTAAAGGGATTCTTAAGCAGGGTCCCTCAAAGGATGCATTCGGGCCAGCTTAGGAAAACAACGATAGCAGATGATTTGGAGGATTCCCTTTACCGAATCAGTGGTTTTGGGACATATCCTTTCAAGGAACCTTGTGTGAGGGTGTTAGCTTCGCCTTTCGCGGCAGGCAGTGCATCGAGAGACCGCCGAATCCACCAACGCACGGGTGATGTGGTGGACGCTGGCCGAAGTCGCTGCTTGCATGAGAATGAGTCGCCAGGTGGTGATCCGTTTTTGCTAAGGGACAACGCCCCCCGTTTTTGCTGGTAAGGGGCATCAACAGGGAACCAAATAATTGGGGGAGGAATGGGGGTCAGGCCATACTGCCTGCGGAGGACAAGGTTCTGTCCTCCGCATGGTTCCGCTTGCCGGAGTGCAGCCGAGGCTGTGCTGATCATCTTGGCCGGGTTCCAGGTGTACTACTTGCGGGGTTACTTCGAAAATAAGCAGATCGTGTAGGGCTGAAGTGGGAGCGCGGCACGCCAACCGGCAGCCTATCCGAAAGCAGTCAGGTCTTTGGCAGGGGCCTTTTGGAGGGTGAGAGCCCACACAAGATTCCCCAGCCTAGCGCTCCAATGCCAGCGTTGGCGTGCTGTGAGAGGGTTTCACTGCAAGACGAAAGCTCCAGAAATAAAGACAGCTTCCGTGGCCGCTGGATTTCCGCTCATTCACTCTCAAGGTGCCTGACGATGCCAGCAAGTCACGCGCTTTTGGGTCAATGTGTTGCCGACAGCTGAAGCCAAAAAACGGCCACTTGGAGGCTGTCAGCCTGCAGAGATGCACCGGCCTAGCTCGGCGGCGGAAAAAGGGGTCTACGGGCCCGCGCATTCTTTGTCCGGTATTTAGCCGCCTGCCAGGCACATGAACATGTTGAGCAGTTTGGTGTCAGCCTGGCGGCCTTCTCATTCTCTCATACGATTCAATCTGTTTTTTTGCTTTCTTCACCTGGTCCGAACATCAGACAGGGGAAGCGGATGTTATACATTGCGAGGGGCAAAACGGTCCACAGACGGTTTTTCGCCAAGGCCTGACTTGGCACAGCATAACACGCTTGCTGCGACCGCACATGTTGGCAGACACGAGCCTTAGTTGAGGTTTCATTCTTTGGCCTGCATTGGCAGTGTGCGGTCCTTGCTTCTTTGCATATCTTTCGCTTTGCCATACATGCCACAGAGAAGCTGCGTGATTCCATAGCTTTTTTCCTCTGTGGAATTCTGAGACGTTCCTCGTCCTCCATTTGACCATTGAAAGGGCACTTGCACCCATATCTGACGTGACGGCGGCCGCTTGGTATTGAGTGTTTGTGGGTCTGCACCGAGTTGGAACGCCGAGGCATCGACAGCATGCTGGACGAGTTGCAGCGGTGCGCGGGGCCTACCTTTGTGCACCCGGGTGGATAGACCGTGCCAGGGGCAACCTCTGCCACAATTCGAAGGGGTTCCGGCGCAAATGGCGATCCTTTCGAAGCAAGCCGAACTGAACTTCTCAACCCGCGTTGCATCAAGTTCTTATGTTCAACCTATGGACGGTGGAAGATGTGTTCGAGAGAGGGGCCTCGATTCTTTTGTTCTTGCAGCAAGGCAAGGTGATCGCCATTGCTGCTTCAATCTTTCGGATCTTTCGGCTCGAAGGGCGTGATCCCTCCCGTAGCTCTGATACGCGGCGTCGAGATGTGTCCTACGGCTGGTCTTCTTGGACTGTTTGGAATTGAGGCGCGCCTATGAGTGACTAAGGGGAGGGTTCTGTTAGTGCTTTCGCCCTGGAAACTTGCGAGGGCCCACTCCTGCACGATTGTCTGTTTGTTTGTTTGTTTGTTTGTTTGTTTGTCCGTAATGCATTGTTTGGGCACACGGCGTGACATGCAGCTTTTCCAGCCATGCAGTTGAATGATCTTTACTAATTTTGAGTAAGCTGCTTGATCGGCTGCGCTTGAGTTGCGAACCCTAGCGGGTTTTGCGCTAGACCGCTAGATATGCTGGTAATTGTTTGCAATGCCTAGGCCAGCTGATATGTATCAGTTTTGATGCTTCCCGGATCATATCCGTTGTGGTTCCCAAGGTCCAGGAGGTGTCCGTGACACGATATAAACAAACAAATATGGCTCACTCCTTGTCCTGGCGCCATGGAAGCCAGGTTGTGCCTCAGTCCAGCAGGTCACGTTGGTTCCATGCCCCGCAATGCGGGTTTTGCCTGGCTCAAAGGTAGGGCCTGAAGAAGGCCACCTTCGATGGGAGCTGTCACTGCCAAATGCCTGGCTCTATGCAACCCCAGCGAGCCTCACAACAACGGGTCTCAATCCTTTAGCTCCCATGTTTGAAGAATTCAATGGGGAACCTCCAAGATTTTCTGCAAGAAGCGGGCTTCCAGCCCGCCTTTGCTTCGGACCTTTGAGCTTGCGAAGCGCAAGCATGCCCGGCCAACCCGGCTGTGCGCATGGCGCTGTTTGTGGGCCGCACGCAGCAGTGCCTGCAGCAGCACGAGCTCGCATTGTACTATGCGCCTCGGCCTGTGATTGTCACTTTCCCAGTGGGAAGGCGGAAAGTCCGCTGAGTCACTGAGAGTTGGAAGGTTGACTCTCCATCTCAGCTGAGGACCAAGGTGCTGTCCCCAAAGGTGCCCAGACTGCTTTTGCATGCTGCCGTTTGTGTCACTTGGGCTGCTACCGGGCCTCATGTCACTTGCCCGTGAAGCTGGCCAGCTCCGCTTGGGATCATTTGTCCATGTGCATGTCACGGCGGACGCAGCCCATCTTGGGGCGAAGGGGTTTGAATGACCAACCACCATCCTTACAGGGTGCTCTGGCTATGGAAATCATGATTGTCAACGTCACATTTTAGGCAGCCGGAGCGCAATAAGTTCCAGGGAGAGACCCTGGCCCTGCCTTATGGGGGAAGTGTCAGTTGTACTAGTTCCCTTTATGGTGTGAGGTGAAAAATGCCGGGCTCTTGCATGAAGTTCTTTCATTGGTTTCTTTGCCAGAAAGGGGGCCAGGATGTCCCTGTGGCTCCTAGGACCCCGGCAGCATCCGCGCCTTGAAGATGTCTTCGCGGACCCTGCGCGCCTCAATGCAGGGCATGCTGGAGGCAGGTCGGAGGTCGACTGAGTCGACAAAATCTCGACTGAGACGCCCGCGGATTTTGATGGCTTCCTTCACCTTCGTGGCCGTGTAGACTGTTTGCCTGATTTTGCCTGGGTTTCAGGAGTGGCCACAGCCCCTCACATGTTTTGAGTTGTGGGCTCATTGTGACGTGACTTTGGGCAGAAATCGCTTGCATCCCATTGACTCTTGAAAGGCGCGGATCGAACTTGTCCAATCCAGGGAAACATTCTGTGATGGTCGGTCCCCTGCAGGTCTTCTGTAGATTTGTTCGGCAGCCAGCGACGGGGCACAACCTGATGGGTGCCATTTGGAAGTTGGCTTCTCTGGCTCCGCGCGGGGATGAGCGAGCCTGTGCTGCCTTGAGCGACTTAGCTGATCATTCAGACCTGGCTCCGGAGTTGTCTTGTGATCCCAAGTGAGCCACAATCAAAACATGGGTAGATGAAGGTTAGCAAGGGACAATCCCAACAATCACTTGGTGCAGCCGCCTCTTTGATTCTTTACCTGGCTCTGGGTAGACCATTTTGATGCCAGGTTGGTATTACTCGACTCGGCTCTGAGACTTTCTGTGCGTCAGGCGCGCGGCTGCGGCACCGGAGGTGCGGGGTGCGGGTCAGCGCCGTGCGGGCGCTGGGCTTGCTGCAGGCTGTGGAGCTGGTGCCCAGGAAGGGCACGGCGCGGCTCGGGCGGGGGGAGGGGGGTGTTTCAAAATGCCGGGCGGTCTCCTAGGGAAATTTAAAAGAGGTGGTTCAAACTGGTTTCGACATGGTCAAGCAAGGCTGTTGGTTTTGGATGGTGTGAGGGTTGGCTCGCTTTTGTCGAGGGACATGGAGGATGGGAGTTCGGACTGATTCACTACTCAAATCTGCGCATGTGTTTGGGAGTTTGGCAATGTGCCGCCTCAACATGTTTGTTTGCTTCCATATCATCGTCCTGAATCGCAAGTGGGGGATGTGCAACTTGTCGCGCCTTCTCAATTTTCTATTCAACCTGTCTGGGGAGGCGATTCCTATTCTAATTGGCACCTCCTGCGATTCTTACAGAGCCACATCACATTGGCAGCCAACTTGCTGCAGGATCAGGACATGCCTCTACGACACCCAGGGCCGCGTGCGGGCAGCCGCCGCGCGAACCTTAGGCAGCCTGGCAGCCAAGAACGACGCTTGGACTCTTTATCATAGGCATAGGGGAAGCCAATGCCCCCCCATTCCCACGCCCCCCAGCACTCCCCAGGAAAGTAGGAAGGGGCTCTTCGAAGGGTCCTGAGGAACCCTACTGTCTCGCCTTCAAAGCAACGTGGCAAGCGCTTTTCCACGTGGTGACTGCTCTTGAGCGTTGCTTTCCTGAATGCTCTTTTCGGGGCGACTTCACCCGAGCGGAGTGGCTTCACGCTAATGTGGCATCCCCAAGTGACTGAGTGACTGTACTTGAGTGCGGGTGACTGACTCAACGTATGGATGATCGGAGAAAAGAGCCTTTTTTAAGCTTGAGGCCAGAGGACCCCCCAACCAGCAAGGCAGATTTGTTTCCAACCCAGGATGCCCTGAAGTGAGGGAATCCCCTATCAAAGGAGCTGTAAAAGCTGAGGTTGGCATCTCTGGACAAAATCGCTGCAATGCGGAATGCGTTCGGATTTCGTGCGTCTACACGATCCACTCCCGCTTTTTCCGCGGCCGTTTTTGCGTCACGTCGACACCTTGAGCCGTCCGTTGAGGACCTGGAGACCTTGCGGGCTGCGCTGCCGCTGCTGGGGGACGAGTGCGAGGACTCCTGCCGCGCCGCGATGGACTGCATCTGCCAGGTCTCCGGGGCCGAAGGCAACACGCTGGCAGGGACGCCCGGGGGGGTGGCGGGCGGCGGTGTCCATTGCGTTTTCTCTTCTAGTTTTTTTTTTGGTTGAATTTGCATTTTCAGGGGGGTTCAAAATCACGTTTGGCACCATTTGCGGGACAAATCTGGGGATTTTGCTGCAATGCCCCCAGTTCGGCAACAACTAAGGTGGACACCTTTTGCTTTGGTTCCGAGTTGATGTGTGCTGCTACACTTCCCATGCCTTACCTGCCAGATTTCCGTGGCCTAACCTGTTCAAGTGCGAGCGGAAAGGCGGAATTGTCAAACTGCAGGCGGGCTGGAAATGGTTGGAGCAAGAGTTGTGCGTTCACTGGATGCCAAACTTCGTTCTCAATTGCCCCAACAGGAAACCAACAGGAGGCAAATAAAGGTTGTAACATTTGCCAGACCCCCTTATGTAGATGAGTCCATCCATCCTGCAACGCAGAAGCCAACAAACCACCCAGTAACTCACCAACAAACCACCAACCAACACTAAGAAGCCAACAAACACGAGAGCCCACTGGCCACTGGCCCCACTTCGGGTTTTCCTCAGGTCCAGCGGGAGCTGTCCGCTCTGCTGCTGAGCCCCTGCCGCACGGAGCGCTGGGCGGCGGTGGAGACCTTGGCGCGCACCTCCGGCCAGGGGGACGCGCAGGTGGTGGCGGCGCTCATCCCGCGCCGCGGTGGGGTCCGGGAGTTGCCGAAGGGTTGCCTAGGGTTGCCCGGGAAGGCTCGGCTGTTTTGGTGGAGCCCTCGGTAGATATGAATTCCCAAGCTCGAAGTTGTTCAACACCCCAGAGGTGCAGCTGAGTTCTGAGTCTGGGGAGACTCTTCCAACTAGCATGTTGAGGTTGTAGGCGAGAGACAAAAGATGTTGTGTTTAGTCATGAGGTAAGGGGCAGCATGCGCAGGTGGGGGCATGGGCTAGGCAGCAATTAGCTTTTGGTCAATTTGCTCCGGTGAATGTGCAGCTCTGTTTGTTTGGGATTTGGCAGGGGTTAGGCATGTTCTCGAACGGGCTTGCGTTTTCAAGCCGATGGAAGCCAGTTGGAAGACAGTTGAAGGAGAAGAGTCATCAGCTTGAGTTTGTTAGGGCAGCTCTGCTTTGGGCGCTGAATCATGTTTCAGTCACGGATCAAAGCAGATGCATGTTCTTCAGCGCCCAGGTGCTTGGAGGATTCTGATGCAGCCATCCGAAGTTCTGTGGTGCATGCCTTGCGGAGGGCCGGGATCTCATCCCGTGGGCTGGAGGGCTGGAGCATGTGAGGGCTTACAGGAGAACCTCCACCAACACGGCTGCCCTGGTGGCACTTGTGGCAGTGAGGCCCCCAAAGCATCTCGGAATCGCACGTGGCACATTCTTCGGCACTCCAGTCCAGAGGGCTCACGCTTGCCTGCCTGTGGCAGTCAAAGGTTTAGCATCCAGGACAAT